GCTTTGATCACCTGATTGAAGCGGTTCGCAAGCCGTTAGGCACCGAGCCATCCGCATTCCTTCCAGAATCTGCTTGGTAAGTTACCTGAACCAGAAGCTTTGCTCTTTGTCCTTGCTATAGCAAGCCATACTTCCTCTGCTGTTATGAGTAATACCGGTCCTTTCACAGGATCAGCTGGTGGGACGGCTATGCTACTGCTGGTAGTAAACGACATTTCTTCGAAGTACGTTCGCCATCTCTCAGTTATTTCCTGTGGTCTTCTTAACATTTTTCCAAGCTTATCCTTCACATGGTAAAAGTGTTCCATATCTTTTGCGAGCTCTCCCTTCCCTCGCGCTATTTGGTATATATCGCGCTCGCCATCACGAGATTCCAATTGCTTATACAGCTTTTTTACGTATGCTTTCTTCGTTTTCTTGACACATGTTCTTGCAGCGTGTTTCGTTTTTAGGTACAACTGTCGAGCGCTTTTCGACTTCGACTTATGCCATTGATTGTATGCTTGACTCTTTTCCTTAATCACCGTTTGAACCTCATCGTTCCACCACCAAGTTTCTTTGTCGATTCTTCTTCCTGTCTTCGTGTGACCCAGTATACTTCCTGCTACCCGATGCACGTTACGCTTCAAGTTGACCATGACTCTTCTGGTTTCTCACATAAGGCCGGTAGAGTACTTACCAGAGTTGGCCAGAGAGTTCCCTTTCAATTTCCACCACTTGTTTCGTGCTTTGTCATAGGTTCAACCGGAATTTTTAGATGTAGAAATAGTGGCTTGTGCTGAGGTGGTGCGGCTTTTACCTAAGATAACTTTGCAATCCTGTATGTTCTTTAGGTTATTGTAACGCACTGCCCAGTAGTCAATTTGTGTTAGACGGTCTCCACTTGAATATGTAGTCAGGTGTTCATGCTTTTTGATGTAGTATGTGTCGACTAATGCTAGGTTGTATGGCAAACTCTAGAATGCGTTCGCCTTCTTCATTGTGTGTTGTATCCGTAGTTCCCGTGACACTTTCCCGCACCATTTCTTTTCTCCCTCACATGATCTTTTAGGTCTACTCCGAGCAGGAGTATCTCATCCTGTGGTATGGATGTGATAGATGTGATATAATCGTCAAGCGCCTGCCAGAACATATTCTTTTCTTCCTCCTTGCATCCGGTATGGGGAGCGTAGGCGGTGACAATTCGAAGGATTTTTCTACCAGTGTCAATCTTTATGCTCATAAGTCGATCACTTAATCGGTCAACTGGGGCAATCCTGCTCCTTAGGCTTTCTGGGACAGCTATACCTACTCCACTGCGA